TGAAACTGAACACTTATCATCAGGTGAGCCGCATGCTCGTTTGCCCCCTCTCCTATAAAAAAAAAACAGTACGCAAAATTTAATTGAAATCAGTTCAATAGTTTAGGAGTTCATCGCGGACAAACAATGTGACTGTGTGATTCTACTTTTATTTGAAATTATCCAAAATTGAATATCATTTATGGGCAATAACGTTTTTGCCTACCAATCGACCCTTACGAATGTGTGCGTGCGCACGCATTTTGAATTTAAAAGATAAAAAGCACAGAATGTTTGAGATTTTCTCAATTAATTTTTCTTTACCGTTTGCCTATTTTACTTATTCTGAACCTTTTCTGTTTAATTGGCCAGTAATTGCAAAATAACCTTGTACATGGTTAGCCCATTGTCATTTCAGTTTAGTAATCTGATTATGCACTTTGACAGTAATTATCCTTGTACCGCAGGGGAAATCCAAAAATAAAAAAAAAATGATTGAAAATACCTTTTTTGAATTACTGTAGTTCTCCACAAGCCGGAAAGATTTATTGCAGCGATTATGTTCACAGGCGCTTCATTAAAAAGAATGTACGTGCCCTAAGCTCAGTTTAGATTACGCTATAATATAAAAATGCAAATAATATATAGCACAACAATATTGCTCAGCATTCATTTTTACGGACAGGTCGACACAATGCTATACCATATATTGGATTGCTTACTAGTGAAGCAACTTGCTATTCTATATAGCAGAATGGTATAGAATAAACTGAACTGAGCTTAACGCTGCCAGCAACAAAAACAAGAGTTTAGTTAATTATTGACAATAATCTTTACTTAGTCATTTAATTAAAGATTAAATTCTAATCACTCTTATTTACTAAGTCTGTATACAATTTTATGAACTATAAACTATAAACCCTTAAGGATGAGCAAGTATGCGCAGGTATACGGACGTGAAGGGGACGAGAGAGATGTTTCAGGATTGTATCAAATGGTATTCCATAGTCTCTGCCTGCCCCTATGGGTGATAGGTGTCAGTTTTAACGATTATTTTACGTTATATATAAATATTTTAATTTAATATTCAATACGCTTGCCACTGACATCAAATCAAATCTAAGTATTCATTATTTAGATTTCATAGAGCGTTGCTGACTTTCAAAGTAATGAGTTAGTTGCGTACTTTCTTTTAACATAAACTTTCATAGAATTGTAATCAAAATTTAGAAAGTAGAAGTCGTGTAATTTTATCAGAGTAGTCTTCTGGGCATCATGTTTGTAGAAGTCTCACGGTTTATTATATATATATATATATATATATATATATATATATATATATATATATATATATATATATATATTTCCCCAAGACATGATACTAAAATGCGTCACATCTGTAATTCCAGAGGGCGTAGGAAGAGCTCAAAGAGCAACGAGTTACTCGGACCACCTTTAGCCAATAATATGGATGGAAAATTGAGAAGAAAGTGATAGGTGTATAGCCCATAGCCTAATCACCAAACCCAAATAAACTATAAATAATTTAAAAACAGGCAATTATTGCCTGTATACGTTACGTAGGCGAGTAATGTAGTTGGCACATTATTTTATGTTACCAGGTTACAACTCCCACATAAACATGGAATATGGTGTTACATTAAAAAATTCTTGAAATAAAAGTTTCCTTACATAAACTGTACGAAAAGAATGTGTAACCTTTTACGTTAAAATATATCACGCTTTCATAGTTTTGGGATACTGATTGAAACGTTTATAAATTACAACTTATAAAAAGTGGTGATGCTTCCTTTACATTATTTTTATTGATAGTTCTTAGATCCAACCGCCAACAATAGGTGGCGTTATTTCAAAAGAGTTCGTTTCAGAAATGGAACAGTCAATTTCAGCAAGTAATTTTAACATCAGAGCGTTTAATTTTAGCAACAACTTACGCATCCGCCGCCGCGCCGGCCGGTTCCACACGTGCCGGTGATCACTTGCATCTGGTAAATATTTATCTAAGGTAAGGTGATTTCATTACTTTCTACTCCGGAAATTTGCTGAAAGACTCAAAGAAAACTTAGTTTATTAATGTAGGGTTGATTTACCAGTCGTTAGATAAAAGTTTTCCATTGAATAAATTATAACCTAATTGAATATGAAATTATAACAAGTAAACCAGTTTATTTATAATTAACTGTAATTTTAATGTATATAATATTATATATTTTATAAATTAAATAATTTCTTATGTGTTGATTACATGATTTTCTTCATATATAGTAATAAGTTTTGTGTAGATACGTATGTACTGAAACTGAGAATCATCCAGCTCATATCGCTCAATCATACTGCATTTATTGCACGTGAAGTATATTTTCTACCGACGTCAAAAAGAAGACGGTACTCAATCCGACTGTATGTTTTTTTTATGTGTGTTACCTCATAACTATAATCTGGGTGAACCGATTTCGATGATTCTTTTTTTTATTTGAAAGCTTGTGCTTTTAATGTAATCCCATATAAATTTGATCAAGGTCTGACCAATATTTTTTGAGTTATTCTCAATAATTTATATTGAAGTCGGTTGTAGAAAATTTTTAAGTTTTAATTATCAAGATATTACTTTAATAAAATGAGTAAATAATACGTAAAAGGTGATAGTGTATTCTGCAAATTGCAAGGTGTAGATTTAAATTTAAACGAAAATATTATGTAAATAAACCGTTATCGTTACAGCCTATTAAATAAAAATGAATTAAAGTAGCTACAATGTAAGTAGTTTATATATTATTATTATTAACTTGTTTATAAAATTAACTTATAAGTATATCCAATAAATAGGTACTCGTAATATTACACATTATATCATAAGAATATGGCGCAAGACAATATGAAATAAAAAAGAAACGGAAAACCCACAATGAATGGTTCTAAAATCGCCTAGTATATTTACTTATATAATTTTATAGCCTTAATACTATATTATGACAAAAACAGCTAAGAACGTAATAGTTATTGGTAATAAATAATAATAATGTTACATGTAGACTCTGAAGCTACAAACTCGGATCTATTTTGCACGTTATTCAATGCACTTCATTATTAGATTTTTTTTTATTTGTCATACATCTACGTCCTTCGTCCTAATAAGATAAGTGATTAGGAAAAAACCATCGATCACTAATAAAATCTAGATACACAATCAGTGACAAAAATGTCCTTACCGAATGAGCGCCCACTCGAACATTTGGGTGTGCTTTTAAATTGTACGTAGCTTTGGGAATACAACTTTAGGCAATGCATTTAAGGTTGAATTTACATTAATGTACATTTATTTCAACTAGAATTACGTCAAAACAATTGGCGACAGTTTTTAGAGAACTTTTGCATGGGATTGTGTAGGTATCTAGTTTTTTATTAATGATCGATGGGAAAACACACTTTTAAAATCTACAAGAAGATAATTATTAGCATCAGCTCACATGAGTGAATTGATGGAACCACATTTCTCAGTATATCACAATTACTTACTATTAAATCAAATTGTGGTAATAGTACGGAAGAAGGTTATGTATTTATACAAGTATTCCAGTGATGCGAATGTGTCTAATCATTGTAAAACAAAACACAAAATGCCTAAACTATTAGAGGCTATAAGCACGTAACACTTGACATTTAAAACACTGGAAACGACCCATTCGCTAAATTTAGTGAGCAGGTCACTAAGTTCTCTATAGCTTTTATTTCGTTCGATGTTCGCGTATAGTTACCGATGATTACCAATTAGTGACGATCTAAGATATATCTACTACCCCATATCATCCCATGGGTGTTGTAAGAGGCGACAAAGGAAAACAAATCAGGCGATGTGCAGCAGCGTCTTCCTAATACCTAACGACTAAAAATAAAAATAAAAACTGCGGTTGTCAACCCACTATGTGGCAGGCCTATGTACAGCCAGCTCAGCAGTGAACTGTAATAGGCTGTAACGGTAAGTATGGAAAGTTATCACATCTAATACATAGACGAACACATTTATAGTTATTTTTATATCTTATCTAATCAAAATACATGTTTATATTGAATCTTTATTATTAATAAAAATATTATATAATATATTCTTTTCTTCCTAATTATCAGCTCATAATAATCCTATGAGACATGGGACTCTCTCATTTTAGTAAGGATATGCCATAATTGCAACACTTAGCAGGCGGATTGCCGATCGTAGTACCAAACAATTCACGCTGTTGACGCCACTCTTCTCTCTCTCTTTCTCTCTCTAAATCTAATTATATGCGAGGAGGTTATTCAACCATTCTTTAAAGGCCATGTAACCTTTCTAGTATTTTCCTTAATTACCACCAACGACAGGAGAAATGTGGTGATGGATTCCCTGACAATCGAACACATGACAAATAATAGTATATTTTCAGATTTAATAAAAATAATGTTGAAAAAATAAACACAAAAAATGTGTTGGTATTTTCTCGGGTAGGTACAAATTATAATACTATGCAACAAAAAAAAAAACAATACTTGGAAATAAATTAACAAAAATACTTTTTCACCATACATAAACTTCAATTATAACAACATTACACATTAATTTTACAATTAGAACCCTCTTTTGAATACCTACATATTGATATTAGTATTTTTTTTTATAGTATAAGGGTAAAAAACGTGCACATAGTCCATCCATCCTCATGGTTGCTGTAGCGAATAGATATCTACATCTATCTTCGCTTACGAATCAAGTGCAGATGCGTTGTCACCCGTGAGGACTAAGATACACCTCGTTTTCAGTAAAATGGGTCTCCGGTTCTGTAGACTCACCATACGAAGCACAGCAGCGTTGAGCTGTTATTTTACGCTAGTATTCTGTGAGAGCGTAGTTCTTCCCCGGTCGAGCCGACCCATTCGTGCTACAACTATACAACTAATATAGCTACAACATGGCTCTATCACTTAAATAAATACTTAAAATAATGAAATATGTTATGTTACAGAAAATGTCCCGCATTTATGAAGACGTGGACCCGGCCTTTGCAGCTAAATGTAGTAACATAACACTATGCTCTAGTACCGTCGGCTTTTTCAAAAACTTTAGTGATGAAATCATTTCCATTGCTGAAGAAGACAACTGGTTGCAGTCATTCGAAAAGGTCGAAGATATGCAAAAAGTGACAGCGGTGATGGAAAACAAAATGGTACGAGTATATAATATTTTAAAGACTAAAGCGTTGCTAGTGTACTTCAGAGATATTTTGAAAAGAGCAAGCGTTGCGTGTTTTTACGGTTGTATCGGGCCGACAATCAGGTCTAATTCTTTTCCAAGCACTTCAATATTTGGTAGTCTTCAAACAAACATAGTTAATTACATTTTAAACTTTCTAAACTAGAAGAAATAATTTATGGAAAAGTTTATAACATAATTAAATGTTAAATATGAACACCACCTCGAAATTCTGACAACTGTAACTCATAGATTTTATAGTCCAAGATCCCAAAGCCACCAGACACTTATTTTCTGACGAACGAAATGTGTAAGATTTAGTAGTTTTAGTATGTACTATGATCGCATGCCTAACTTTTAGCTCAGCCTGACGGCCATTTTGCAGGTTATAAGTATCAGTTAAGCAAGGTACGTAGAAACATTACTCACCTCACGTTAATTCTCTCGGCTGAGTTTTACGTATATATTAGTTAATATCGTTAAAAATCAGTCAATCAATACTGCATGGCGTTGCAGACGCTTTATAGCTCTCAAAAAAGTTACTTCAGGCCACTTTTTTAAAACGTTTTAGAAAAAGTCAGACCGATCCAAGGCATCAGTCATCCCTTAAACCCAATTTTAATACCCCTATGGGTATGAGCGCGAGGGCATTATCCACGCGCATGAGCGTGAGTGATGCTTAAAGCGTCTGCAAAGCGATACTGCCGATGGAAAGTGTCTGGGAGTATTGATGACTGATTTTTAACGAAATTATCTAACATATACTTAAAACTCAGCTGGGAGAATTAACGTGAGGTGAGTAATGTTTTTACGTACCTTGATTACCTGACACCTGGAAAATGGCCGACCGGGCAAGCTAGCAGGTGTCTTACACATTTCGTTCGTCAGAAAATAAGTGACGTCTGGTAGCCCTGGTATTTTGCTGTATTATAAGCATGTTACAAATATATAATAATGCATTTTTGAAACCTTAAAATTGAAACCTTAAATATGTTTACAAACAACTGACATAATTTAAACTTGTGAACGCCGTATATAATGTTTCTATTAGCAGATAACGTCGAATCTAACGGCGCCTAACACTCCAAAACCTTTCATAGTATTAAAGTTAGAGATACAAGAAAACAAAATTGAAAACCATTAACCGCCTTCTTGTGTGTTGGGTAACTATTAGATCTATCATAGTGTTACAATTAATTAATTATTCATTACAACCTAAACCTATCTAACGTCTATTGCATTCTTGCCTACGATTGCTCTTTGAAAACTAGTCAAACCCACGCTCCACGGTAAGTCAATTAAAAAGAAAGAAATCCTAGATAAACATTTCTTATTTTGAGGAACTGTAACTATGTTCTATCTATTTATTTCTACCGATTTATTCTGTTTTTATTTATTCTATTTTTACTGATTTAAGATAATGGATGGGCTGCAAGAAGTTTTCTCTAGAATCCAACCACTGTATCGTAGCAAAGATGCAAAGATTTCGCAAGAGAAACGTAAGGAGGCCGAAGCAGCACTAAAACAAGGCGATTTCACCAAAAGTTTGGCATTAGCAAGTCAAGCTGTGCTTAGGTCTCCAATGACAGGTAATTGTAAACTCTTAATAATTGCTTTCGAGTTTCTATATTTAGAACGCTTCGTTTTCTTTCACATTTATAAGAAAATAAAGAACTCTAAAAACTATGAAATACTAAAGCAAATAACGGCGACATAATAGTGAAATTATCAGTCTGTAAAATTGCTATTCGCGATACATTATCTTATTAGGTAATGGTGGTAGAGCCACGCGGCAGTTTTTGCTGTTGCACGTATGGGCCGGCTCGAGCCGCGTTGCACGCAGGTGTCCTCTCCGGCTGGTACCTCGTATCTCTCCTAACCGGGGTACAAATTGAAGCACTCCTTTGTGCCTCGGGCTGGAGTTGGCGTGTATGTCAGAGAGGACATCTGTTCTCGACGCCTCGGCAGTCTTGAAGGTTCGGACCTGTCCATCCTTTGGCTACGCGTAGACACCATCCGCGCGTCTACGGGTGCCTATATAGGTCTCATAGCGGTAATGCCGAAACAGACCGATTCATCGACCACGTCCAAATGGCTACAGATTCCTTACTACAACAGGTCCCATCCGCAGAGATCGTGATCCTTGGCGATTTTAACGCCCACCACGCCGAATGACTCGGTTCACGTTTAACCGATCATGCGGGGAGATCTGTTTATGACTTTGCCTTGGCATATGGTCTGACACTACTGGTTACTTCGCCTACGTGGATTACAGATGTGGAGGATCATACACCTTCCCTGTTGGACCTTCTGCTGACCTCTAATCCGGATGGATATCAGGTTTCTGTCGATGCCCCTCTCGGCTCTTCGGACCATTGTCTGATACGGAGTGTGGGTTCACTCACGCTCCCCTCGCGGTTGCGTTCTGCAGGTTGCTGCTGTGATTGGCATTACAGGTCGGCGGATTGGGACGGAATGCGGTCTTTCTTTGCATCCTACCCATGGGGGCGGGTTTGCTTCTCGCCGGATGATCCCAGCGCTGTTGCTGACTCTGTCACTGATGTGGTGCTACAGGGAATGGAACTATTTATTCCATCATCTGTGGTACCCATCGGAGGCAGATCTCAGCCTTGGTTTGGTCACTCCTGTAAGACTGCATTATGCAGTAAGCAGAAGTGTTATCAAGCCTGGGCTACGGCTTCGTCGACTCGGGATGTAAACACCAGCACACTTACAAAGAAGTATAACTTCGCCTCCAGGTCCTTCAAAAGAGTTATTGCCAAGGCAAAGTTTTTTTTTAATAGGATAAGGATGACAAACGAGCACACAGTCCACCTGATGGTACGTGGTTGCTGCGGCCCATAGACATCTACATCTATCCTCTGTTACAAATCAAAATGTAGATGCGTTGTCACCCGTGAGGACTAAGATGGAATGCCTCATTTCCAATAAAAAGGGCCTCCGGCCACCTGCACTCGCCAAGCGAAACGCAGAGGTAAACCTCTACTTCACGCTGGTTTTCTGTGAGGTCATGGTACTACCCCGGTTCGAGCCGGCCCATCCGTGCGACAGCAAAAGCTGCCGCGTGGCTCTACCACTGTTATAAAAGTCAGGCACATAGGCAGAATTGGCGAGAAACTAGTTCGCCTTCCTTCGGGAACCCGTGCATTCTGGTCTCTCGCCAAGGCTGTCCAAAGGAATTTCTGTAAGCCATCACTACCATCTCTGCACAGGCAGGACGACTCATTGGCTGTGCCCAAGCCGCAAAAGACAAAGCCGACCTTTTAGGCTCCCTTTTTGCATCCAACTCGACTCTTGATGACGGGAAGAACACATCGCCGACCATCCCGCGGTGTGAGTGCTACATGCAGGATATGCTGTTCTCACAGCGCTCGGTTCGCAAAGCACTCCTCTCCCTGGACATCCAGAAGTCGAGTGGGCCTGACGGAATCCCCCAAATTGTGCTGAGGACGTGTGCTCTGGAGTTGGTACCGGTCCTAACGCGTCTTTTCCCGTACTCTTACTCCCAAGGCGTAGTCCCGAATTCATGGAAGACAGCTTTTGTCCACCCGATCCCTAAAAAAGGCGACCGCTCAGACCCGTCCAGCTATAGGCGTATCGTCATCACCTCCTTGTTCTCCAAAATAATGGAATCCATTATTAACCATATTTGCGAGCTCATGCGGTACCTTGAGGATTACCAGCTGATTAGTGACCGCCAATACGGTTTTCGTCGGGGTCAACAGCTGGTGATCTTCTGGTCTACCTGACCCATAGATGGGCGGAGGCAGTAGAGTCCAAGGTGGAGGCGTTGTCCGTTAGTTTGAACATTGTGAAGGACTTCGATCGGGTTTGGCACGAAGCGCTTCTTTCAAAGCTCCCTTCCTGTGGGCTTTCCGAGAAATAGTGCAATTGGATCACCAGCTTCCTTGCAGATCGGAGCATCAAGGTCGTTGTAGACGTTGCATGCTCCGACTACAAGCCTATTAACTCTGGTGTTCCACAAGTCTGTGTGCTATCACCAACGCTGTTTCTTCTGCATATCAATGATATGTTGCTAACTGGTAACATTCATTGCTATGCGGATGTCAGCACTGGTGATGCTTTATACACCCGCCGTGCCAATATTTCTCGGGAAAATTTCGCTGAGTACCGAAACAAACTTGTGTCTGAAGTCGAGTCTTTGCTGAACAAAGTCTCGGATTGGGGGCGACTAAATTTAGTCCATTTTAATCCTCAGAAGACACAAGTTTGCGCGTTTACCACTAAAAAGAACCCCTTTGTCGTATCTCCTCAGTTTCAGGGCACTCCCCCTCTTGCCTCAGCCAGTATCGGAATCCTCGGAGTCGACATATCGAGTGACGTGCAGTTTCGTGGTCACTTAGAAGAGAAGGCCAAATTGGCCTCTAAAAAGCTTGGCGTGCTCAGCAGAGCGGGACTGTATTTCATGCCGGCACACCGCCTGCAATTTTACAAGGCGCAGGTTCGGCCTCACATGGAATACTGTTCCAGCTCCTTCCACTTGACCGCATCCAGCACAGAGCGGCTCGAATCGTCGACAACCGAGTCCTTTATGATTGGCTCGATTCATTGGCACTGCGAAGAGATGTTGCATCCCTTTGCATTTTCTTTCGCGTCTACTACGGGGAGTGCTCTGAGGAATTGTCCGGATTAATCCCAGACGCCAAATTTCACGAACGCACATCGCGGCAGAACTCCCGATATCATCCACACCATCTGGATGATTGGCGGTACACCACTGTGCGATTTAGAAAATGTTTTCTTCCTCGCACGACTTCCTTGTGGAATCGATTACCATCAGCGATTTTTCCGGACCGATAAGACTTAGGGACCTTCAAGAAAAGAGTTTACTCCTTTTTAAAAGGCCGGCAACGAATCTGCAATTCCCCTGGTGTTGCGGTTGTTCATGGGCGGCGGTATTCACTTACCATCAGGTGAGCCGCATGCTCGTTTGCCCCCTCTCCTATAAAAAAGAAATGTTAACACTTCCATTGTATATTATTGCCAAAATAACCGAGTGGACTACATTCAACGATGAATTGTTTACTAGTTGTTTTTATGTGGTAGAGCCATGCTGCAGCTACGAGTATATTAATAGTATAGTTGTAGCACAAATGGGTCCGCTCGATCAGGGAAGGACCACGCCCTGACTGAATACCAAAAAAAAATTGTATTGGTGATAATGAAAACATACACTACTTATTTATTATAATTAGTAGTAAAGTAAATATAATTTTGTCCTAAATATTTTCTTAAATATTATTGTATTTCAGGAACTGATGAAGTGGTAGACCGAGGAGTATCCTTAGCACTAGCACTTTGGTTACGCTCCGAAGTACTTTTGCGTTTAAATAAGTTTCAAGCCGCCCTTGAAGATTTGAAATTGGCCTTAAAGGAACGCCTGCCAGCTCGCATGCGTGCTCAATACTATTGGCGAATGGGTCACTGTTACAAAGGTATTATTAGTTATAAAATCACCTTTGTTTAGTTCTTCCACTACTGCCCATTTTTCATTTGAAACTGTTTGAACTAGGTTGACTTTATGATACCTATGTTGACGTAATTATAAGATTAAAATATAGTAACAATAACACTGGTAACACATTCAAGAAGTCGATGGTTGGAGGTGGTTTAGAACCGTCTTTTGTGGCATTCCTTGGGGAAAGCATGTTCAGCAGTGGGCTGTAATTATGATGATGATAATAAATACACTTGAAATTGTATATTTAACTTAATTAAAATTATATATATATATATATATATATATATATATATATAGCAGTATGTTAAATGTTAGTACACTAGGAAAAAACATATTTTTCTTTTGTTTTTGATGTTGTCTGTTAGTCTTCGCTCCTATTTTCTTTTATAGAAATAATAAATTAAATGTAATTGCAATTGGTATGAAAAATTGTGTTTAATAAATTGGTATCTAGTAATATATACGTTCGGTTCATTTATAGTGAATTTCAGATCATCACTTGGCATCAAAAATAAATGAGAAGTAAAATAGGGTAATGCTTGAAATACCTAACAATCCATTCGATGACCTTGTAATCTAAAACAACCCGTTAAAGTCCGGTACCGTTACTCGTTATAAGCTTCACACGTCGTTACAATAGGGACCGGAAATTATGACTATCAGTCACAGATTGCTTGAATCCTAGCCGATCACTATTACTATGTAAAAATATCAATTACTACAAAAATATTAATTTTGTGTTTTGTCGTACACTGATTAATATTAAAATCTATTTTTATAAGAAAGAATATAAATTTATACATATAATTAAGTTATATTCTGGATAAAATCGATGCCTGCATGATGAAATATTGTTTTCCTTTTTTTTTTAAATTGCCTTTGACATGATTAGTATTTCAGATATGTCAGTTGCAAAAAGTAGGTTTAACTTTTTTATGTTTCGAAGGTGCGCAAGAACCAACAAGAGCCAAGGTTTCCTATGAATTAGCAGGCAGGCTATTAGGGAACGACGAGAAAGCCAAAGACCAGTTACAACAAGATATAGAGTCTCTTGATTACTCCGTACAGCCAAAACAACCTCCAGACAAAACAGGTAAATGAGTGAAAATACAAAGGCAATGCGTCGTTTCCCATTTACCGGCACGGCGCCGAGGAAGCAAAAATGTATGAAATATATGGCATGTTTTTCCACTTACCGGCGCCACTGCCGGCACGGCGATAACCCCCACCGGTGCCGTCGCTGTTGCTAGACTTCCCACTCGGTTTCGGTAGGCAAAACTGCATGTGTATATACGTATTGCAGCCGTGTGCGTTTGTGCGCATGCGCGGGCCGAAGTAGAAGGGACACTGAGATTGAGACTCGAAATCGACTTGTGAAATTATGAAATGTCTCCTCGTTCATGCCGAAGTAGTTAAAATATATTTTCGAGTCCATTTCCAATTTTAAAATAGGGTATAATAGGGAACATACTATACCCTATTTTAAAATTCTAATTTTTTATTATTTTTATCTTAAGTGTAAGAGATATAAAAAAAACAAATACAACGATTTGACGAGGCTATTTTTACATGTTGTAGAACTGAAGTATGTGTTAGTACTGCCCAGAAACCGAGCGTAGACCGGCGCCGGCACCGGTACCGGTGCAGTGAAAAAACAAAGCCGTGCCGCCGCTGTGCCGTCGCCGTGCCGGAGGCGTACTGATAGATGGAAAACCGCCCATTTAAGAAAATAAAAACATTATCTAGCTAAAACAAAATTTCTTTGACAAAAACTTAAGCAATTTTTTGGGCGCGTGTCTGTTCACACTGAGACGTGACGCGACGCAACGCCGCGCGCACTATTTAAGATGCGTAGTAAATAAAGTTATAAAAAATATAACTTTACTTACTACGCAAAAAGATACACGTTTTATTCAGATTATCTCAATAAAATGTAAACATGTGAGATTACTCAATAAAAAGTGTAAGAGATGCCTCGCGGTATAGCACCGCGCATGATGACGCAGCGGTACTTCGTTGGTAGGCGGAGTGTGCAAGAGCAATACGCTGCCAGTGACTTCACAATGCGACTCGCGACGTTTGATGCCTCTCGCGGCTGTGCGCTGCGTGGTGCAAAACCCCTGACCTCTTCAATTATCGTCACGTCGCGTCACGTCTTTGTGTGAACCGATTTATTTTATTATTTTTATTATTATTTTTATTAATAATATAATTGCTCAGCCATTTTACTGTTAGAACGTCCGTTGCGTTAAACGGGTCTCGCGCGAAAACAAGCGCAAATATAAGATCAGAGTAATTTATTACTGACGTCCATCTCTGTTTCTATAAAATTCATTTGTATAACCCAATTCTATAACCCAAATTACGTAGCGATTATTTTGAGTTCTATAGCTATGTTCACGTTAATGGAAAGTAGATGCTGGATTTATTATTAATATATTTATAAGGATTACAAGATTTATTTACTAAAGTATTACAAGTGTCTTCAATACTTTGAAAGATTGGATAATACATAAGCCTAATATATAAGCCTGCGGCAAACAAATTCTAACGACGGAGATGTTGGTCAATAATAAATTAATAGATAATATTTTAAGGTACGATTATATACTCAAACGATCCAGTACCGCCAGCGTTAAAATTTTTCTGTTGTCCAGTAGTAATCCAGTAGTAGTCCAGCAGTTGCGTTAACCGGTGAGTTAAGGTTGAGTGCGACGGTCGCACGCAACGTAGCCCGATGCGTGTACCCGTGACGGATCCGGCGTAACGCAGCAGACTCTTCTATGTAATAATATTAAATAGTGCCTAGATACTTTATAGTAATATGTATAGAGTTCTGAAGTTATTTCTCCTTTGTTAGGTATATCTTTATCTGGTGGAGCTAAACAATCTATGCCATCCCTGTCAAAGTTACTTAAAATCACCGAGGATGAAACAAAGGTACAATTTGTATGAAATTCAAAACTAAAAATTAAAAAAATATTTGCCATATTTTCATAATTTTTGTTTTTGCAGGGTCGATTTACGGTGGCAAATTCAGCAGTTAAAACTGGAGATGTTCTTCTAATAGATAGCCCATACGCAGCCTGTCTTTTAAATGATTTTTATGGTACACATTGCCTTCATTGTTTTAAAAGGTCGATATATTTAATGTCTTTCTATGTAGTAACATTTTTGAAGTACATATCTTAATCTTCTTTCTCTCTTGCAGGCTAGGTGATTGTGAAGATCGTGCACCCGTTTGGTGCCCAAAATGTTCAGGAGTTGCTTTCTGTAGTGTACAATGTAGAGATGCAGCCGTCTCCACTTACCATACTTACGAATGTCCTTTTTTGGGTTTATTCATTGGTGAGAATTTTTTATTATATCTTATGAATTTTATTTTAATGGTAATGTGTTAGTTAAGAAACAAATATAGCATTTGAATAAAATATAATTAATTTAAATCAATGCGAAAAAATATTTTTCTATTTTAATTTCCTTTCTTAAAGGATCAGGCATGTCGGTGCTTAGTCATATTGCTCTTCGTATGGTCACGCAAGCTGGACTAGACACAAGTCTAACAATTCATTCAAAACATTTATTCAATAACGTCAAAACAGTTGAAAGTGTAGCTCTAAATGACATTGAAGGAATGCCGAAGAAATCAAAACTGAAAAGCAGAAAAGAAAGATTGAACCGATCTAAGAAAGGGCTAGATACATTAAGCGACAAAAACTCTAAAGACGGAGAAATTGACTCTAAATCGGACGAAAACCCCAATTATCAGGAACAATTACTACTAAGAGCAGCCCAAATATACTCACTATGCACGCATTCAAGGCAAAGAAAAGGGGATGATTATCTAAAAAGAATCGTGATGGCGATGTTTCTTACAGAATGTTTAAAAAAAACTGACTACTTCAAAAACTGCGAAGAAACAAAACTACAAAAAGGTAGGTAAAATACTGGACGTATTTGGTATATCTCACATAGTATAACCACCTTATATCTTCTCATTAGTATAACAATCTTTTTACCCGTGCTCGTCTTCTTCTTAAAATTTTAGTTAAATGGTCTTAATGACAATTAAGATACACATACAAAGAAAATAATTTCCCTTCGTATATTTTATATTTAAAATAACCAATTGAGCAACAAGGAGTAGCATCAAAGGTGCCTGGCATCTGATACTTCGATCGTAAACTCGCCTGCCAAGCCTGGACATTACAGCAAATTATTTCTACAATAGGAGAGGTAGTAGAGCAGTGGTTTGTTACGGACTAATAATGAAAACGATTATGATGCAGTATTTACCATTTCATTGAGATAATTTAACAACGTTTGCATAATGTGGTAGTGTAAAATATCTAATGCGGTTATAGTGCGTTTACCGAGAGTATTCGATCCTAACCTGACATGAATATTTATTATCATTATCATCATGATCATCATTATAGCATATCAAAGTCCACTGCTGAACATTGACGTTCCCAGAAATTGGCTAATAATGTGGATATTTGCCATGGTAGTCATACTTGGCAGGCAAGTTGGTAAGCGCAATTTATTTGTTCCCGTTATTATTAAAAAGACTCTACTGCCCACTGCTTCAGTTTGTTTCCCACTGTCGCCTCCATAGGATGACGTGGCTTAGTGAATTCACTTTAGAGGTGATCATTTTATAACTCTGTCAAATTACAAACTTCACTTCCGTGTTCAGCACAAAATTTGATACCTACGAAATAAATATATATTGTAACGTCGTAATTTACTTTTCAAATGTAATAAACAATTTTTTGCTTTCTATAATTAATTTTAATATCCTTGTAAAAACATACAACGTCCATGCAACACAAATTTTACAACCACCAAAAAATGGCCGTCATATTTATATCTCCTATCCGCTCACAATCACAAATCAACGCTTCTCCGTGTCACTCAAGACAGCACACCGCAACAAGCGACACCTTTTCAATACAACCTCTTTTATCTTTATTACAATATTCTTAAATTTTTATATTTTTTAGCTGAACAATCAATATGCGAACTTATAGTTTGCAACCTGCAGCTTCTCCAGTTCAACGCTCATGAAATCTACGAGACCGTCCGTGGTCAACATATGTTTGTTGGCTCGAAGCCTGTGTACACTGCAGTCGGTATATATCCTACTGGCGCTTTGTTCAATCACGAATGCTATCCAGCAGTAGCAAGGTAAATTAGAATATTTTTGTTTGAAAATGTTAATAACATCAATTCATTCCTTTATATAATCTTTTACTTACTGCATTCTCACCTAATTAGTATGCAAACAGATCACAGCAAATCTTAGACTCTCTACACACTTTCTTCCCTCACTGTCAGTGCTGTTAGTATATTTGCTTTTACATCTTAATAGGATTCAGGGATTATATAGACGGCGAGTGATATAATGATAATGGTAACTTGATTGGTTTCCAAACAGCAGATTTTCCGTAGGGTATTTTACACATGAATCTGTCCAGTAACCAAATATCCATGTATCATAGATCTATAGCACTTAAACATGGATTTAAGTAACCTTGCTACACTTTTTTTTATAGGATAAGTGTGACAAACGAGCACACAGTCCACCTGATGGTAAGTGGTTGCTGCGGCCCATAGACATCTACATCTATCCTCTATTACAAATCAAAATGCAGATGCGTGGTCACCCGTCAGGACTAAGATGGAATGCCTCATTTCCAGTAAAAAGGGCCTCCGGCCACCTGCACTCACCAAGCGAAACGCAGCAGCATTAAGCTGCTATTTTACGCTGGTATTCTGTGAGAGCGTGGTCCTTCCCCGGTCGAGCCGACCCATTCGTGCTACAACTATACTACTAATAGAGCTGCAGCATAGCTCTACTACGTGTAAAACAATCTACTTCACGCTGGTATTCTGTGAGGTCGTGGTACCACCCCGGTTCCGTTCCATCCGTGCGACAGCAAAAGCCGCCAAGTGGCTCTACCACTGTTGAAAACGTTGTTACTTGTTGTACTACCAAAAACACCCTAATCCAAACGATAGCGGACGTGTCATAACACCATGCGCTAAGACGCCGCCCAATATCGGTAGGAGTGCATGATGTCCACGGGAAAACCGTATTGCTACAAGAAACCCGCTCACCACCGGCACTAAGATGATCTGTGTTCAAATGGGTTGTCTAACCACCCTCGAATCAGATGTGTGCGGATTCCGGCTCTGACGGCTTTACTCATATCGGTCGATGTTACGAATGGTTGGGTTTACAACGTATATACGGCATGGAGGGTTGCGTATCGAGCTTATCTGTGACGGTGGCGCGACCCTACTGTAATCCTGTTTGTGTTAGTAACACTAAGTGTATGTGTAGTGTCGATATGTGACGGCGTGCGACGTATGAGTCGTCGAAATCGAATAAAACTGAGCATTCGATAAGCACTTTGCTTGTACTGCGGAAATCGTGCGCAACATCCACTACGCTAGGCAAATAGATTGACGATCTCAGTACCACGCGATTTGCTACTAGAACAGTGCAACAATTTCAGTAACACTCTTTCATCTTCATCTGACTTTATCGCATACTCCTGTCGTTAGTCTGAGACTTTTACACGAAGCATACATACTAGACAGTTATCATCGTAGCTACAAATGTTTATAGATCCTTAATCGACTCTTATGGGAGTCCCATAGCATGAGACAGTATTTTTTTATAGGATCGGGTGACAAACGAGCACACAGTCCACCCGATGGTAAGTGGTTACTGTGACCCATAGACATCTATATCTATCTCAATAAAGACTCAAGATGCAGTTGCGTTGTCTCCCGTGAGTGAGTATGGATGTATTCAACGAATGTGTTTTTATTAAATTTTATTATTGTTTTTAGTCTCGACGTTTTGGGTGCTTTACAGCTCCCATAGACGTAAAATGTTAAAGCGTATATTTGTTTCGTCCGTAATAGAGTTTTATCATGCCCTATAAATTATTATAAAGGGGTATTTTGAACATATATATATATATATATATATATATATATATATATATATATATATATATATATATATATATATATATGAAAAAAAATCTGACCGATTCAACAATTTATAAAACATATTCATATATTATTTGTTTATAACTGGTAAAAAAATATGTTTGTAAATTCGAAACAACACACATAAGACTTAAGGTAGTCATATGTACTTGTCACGTGTGTCTGTACAGTTATATCCTTCAGGTAAACTTGAGCTGAGTCGAGTACATACACGTAGCAATTATGCAATATACATTCTCTGGATTATCTATACAGTTCAACTTTACCATCAACATAAACACATTGTCTTGTCACTCGCCGCCGTTCTTAGTTAAGTTCAACGTACGCGTTCTCACCAAATTAGTGCAGAAGACAGTACGGGAAAACAGACCGCTAAATACTAAATAATTAGCAGTTATGAGAAAACTTTCAAAAACAACAGTGCTTAGCTAAAAGATACGCTTAAATTTTTTGTTCGGGCGTATTTCTGCTAATAATCACGGTTCACACACACAATCAGAACATAATTACGGTTTCGACCACCATAATGATGAGGATTAGAGACACAAAGATACCATCCACACTGCCATATAAAATCATGTTCCACCAATTCATATATTCCAGTCCACTAGAATATTCAAGGTGATTATGATGCCTCTGAAACACCACGCGAGGAAAACCGGGGCCAGCCTTACTCAACACTGATTTAGCAGTCGAAGATTCGCAACAGCGTACTTTTTTTTTTTGGTTTTTCAAAAGCAAGGATTAATATGCAAATAATCATTGATATAACTAATAGAAATGAACTGATCCGCTTTTGAGAAACCCAAAGTAGCAATAATCTAAGGTTAATTAACCATTAACTTGTGATTTGATTACGGATAAGTGTATAACATAATATTATTGTTAATCACTCTATCTGCAACTCAAGCCACGATTTACATTTAAATAACTGCCTTTTATTGAGTTATTGAGTAAGGGTTTGTATTCCATTACAACATGAATGGACATTTATTTAATTTTATTCTATCTGCCTATCTGTCTGGGCTAATTGTTTCTAATGTTCAGAATTTTAGAACGAGGGCTGAACCGACTCTATTGCAACTTGAACAGAAAGAGAGCAATGTCAAGAGTGATTGAGACTAAATTTTATCTTTAAAGCTTGGAAATATTTTTTCTTAGAGTTCAAAAATTTTATGAAATGAATGCTCTTTATCGATTACTTAAATTGAAATAACAATACATTAATAGATTCTATCCAACGAAGCTAAGGCGGTTCGCGAGTTAACAATAATTTAATAATAAACAAAGCTTCTCTAATTTGATATAAACAACAAAGTAATGACTACCGAATGCTCACTACTTGCGAAATTGGCGGCAATAGAACAGCCATAATTGTTTCGCTTTTCAGCGATAATAATAATAACGTAAAATATCACAGCAAGCAATATACTGCTTCATTTATTCATATCTTACTTAGTCATTACTTTTACACATTTTATTGCGGAGAATATAAAGGAAACGCGATTAATTAATTAGTCACCACGAACATATGTGTATATTTTATATAGCCATGCTATATTAGTAGTATAGTTGTAGCACAAATGGGTCCGCTCGATCAGGAAGGCACCACGCCCTGACTGAATACCAGCGTAAAATAGCAGCTTAACACTGCTGTGTTTCGTATGGTGAGCTTAGAGAACCGGAGACCCTTTTTACGGGAAAAGATGGAGTGCCTCATCTTAGTCCTCATGAGTGACAACGCATCTGCATTTTGATTATTTATTAATGTCTATGGGCCACCGCAACCACTTACCATCAGGTGGACTGTGTGCTCGTTTGTCACGCTTATCCTATAAAAAAAATATGAACGTCAGGTACGAAGATATGAGTTTATCACGGCAGAATAAAATATAAAACTATAAACTATAAATACCGTCAGCTTTCTGACATTGGATCTTAATCTATAAGATAAAAGTTTTCCATTGCGAATGCATATGTCTGAGAGGACACCAGTAAGCAGCAGAAACATAGTTTCATAGTTAAGGAGGAAGTACCCTAGGAACTTCTAGGAGTATAACACGTAAAGCATTACCTCTGGATTCATCTATTATTTCATGTGAAATGTATTTAAAAAAAAACAATTTCATGCTATTTGAATATCCTGGATCAATCAAAAAATCAAACAGATTTTTTGATTGCTTTAATTTTCAGTGCGAGTCATCTCATCTCATCTAAAATATAATTTTAGCCGTATTTTAAGCTGAATAGTAGACGAGATCATTTTGAACTCACAAAGGGAGTCCTCTTCTTTGAGAAGCAAACGGATTGAAATGATCTCATGTAAATTATTAATGTCGTATTAAATATTACCCTAGCTTTAAAAGAGTAAATATAACGCACAGGTGAACTCTAAAATATTTGTAGTCTAAAATCATATTTAGTTGCGTTAAAAGAGTGTGTTCATTAAGATAATTTTTATGCCCATGGACAACTGCAACCAGCTTCAAACAAATATTTTTTTATGTATTTATTTTTCGTCACACTGACACTTGCCAATCAATGAAAACATTAGTGGGGATTGAGTAAAAATGCCGATTAGTATAAGAAATAGGGTGGGCCACCAATGTATGAAGAAAAAAAAAGTTCTTTACTTTTTACGTAATAGCACAAAAAGGTGCCTTATTATGTACTTATTGCACATGCAAAAAATCAGAATGATTGGATATCATCTTTAGCCTCCGGATTGATTTTGAAATTAAGTAAAATTAAGAAAATTTGACTTTAAGCTAAGTACTAAATACAATGTAAATTATGTTAAAAATATTTTTTAAATTGAAAACACACGCTTTAGGAACATATTTGTTTATTATTACAAAGAAATGCGTAAAAAAAGTAAAATACACATTTACTTATTTTTTTAGTTAACCCTAAAATCTTGTTTGCTCTCGAATTTTGGCATATTTTTGCAAGACTCTATTTGTGCTCTAATAAAGCCTTCTCTTGCAGTTTTGCTACATAATGTATTTGCTGCTTAGGTTACTGTCTTGACTGATCGTTCCACGGCTTGCGTATGACATGGCAGGCGTAGAAGAGGCAGTTCACCATCACCTCTCTGTGAAATGAATAACTGCAGGTCTTCGTCATTCAAACTCTCGAGAATGGGGGGCTGGGTAATGTTA